CGTGCATGCCGTAGTCGTTAGACCATTGACCTCGCATCCCTACAAAGCCGGGACGGAGCACGCCGGGTTCTCACCGGACCAGGCCCTCACGTCACCAAGCGTGAAGCACCGTGAGGTATTCTGCGAGTCGCATGAAGGGTGCGCTGCATCCTGCTAAGGGTGTTCGGCATCTTGTGCTTACTTCCTTGCGTACGGATGACAGCTGCGTATGACTTAATTTATTTTCTGGTGCTTTCACTTCCTGAGACAGTTGTAAGCACTGTGTAACTGCCTCGAGGGTGCTTGACCATTTTAACACAACGTGGTGCGATCATCCCCCTTGCGCGGAGTGAGGGTTCTCCACCCCGCACAACATGATCTACTCGACCACCATTATGGTTACCGCCAAAAGAAAAACAGACGTAAAAAAACAAACGCTATCCTGGTTGCCGAGTTAACGAAGTGAATTGGCTTGTTTTACAACGTCGTTGCCAAGCGACGAAAACCCAACCCCGATGGCAAAACACCGGGGGGGGAAGGGGGTGCCAAACAGTTCGGTCGCCGAAACTCAAATCAGAGTCGTGCGTTCGTTCGCCGCAGTGGAGAACATAGCATAGCAAAACGTGGTGGTCAAGACCAGAAGAATGCGTGCAGAGCATCCAAAGTCATGACAGAAAAATCGACAAGCATAAACCGGTCGAAACCACCCTGCGAGTGTGGGATGTGTCGATCGGAGGGTTTCAAAATTCCCAAGTTTTTCCAGCGCATGCACGAGGAGGGAGTGTATGAATGCATGCATATCATGACAAGAAAAGGCACGCCGGGGGCAGCGTCTAGACGACCGCTTTATCCTCGCTTTTTCGTGCCTTCCACGGCTTCAGGCTTGAAGGGTTGACGGACGTCGGCTACAGGGGGGATCTATCTCCCTTGTCCCCCGAAAAAAAAAAAAGTCAAGCTCGCCACCGCCACCGCCAAGAAGGCAGAGATCTGTGTGTGTGCAGCCTTAGCCTTGCCGGGCACTTGCGACAAGGTCTAGGTTTGTAGGTGGGGGAGGGACAGAAACTATGCCCATGGGACACGAGAGGCATGTCGTTGAGTTCGCTATTGTTGTCATGACCTACAGGGTATTTAATTTTACGTCTTTCGCGGTAAGTGGACAACCGGATATCCATATCGGGGAAACATATGTACCTAATCCAGGAAAAATTTCCCTCCCAAGAATACGAGGTAGCTGCTGCTCATGAGTACTGCTGTAACGCGTATCATGTCTCAGAGATAGACAGAGAGACAGGGAGGGACAGAGAGGAGAGAGAGAGAGAGAGAAAGAGAAAGAGAGAGAGACAGGACGCACGAGTCACCTGTCGCATGTGGTTTTCGCTTTGACGCCTTGGTCGGGAAGGGGCTTTCACCATGGCCTCCTCCTCCTCCTCCTCCGTCCCCGGGGCCGCGGCCGTCTCTGACGCTGCTGCTGCTGCTGGTACCGTCCTTGCCACTCAACCTCGTCTTCCGCACCAGCCGGCCGCTCTGCTTGTCGAGCGCCATGAGGTCCGCCATGAGCGTCACGTACTCCTTGAGAGGCCGTGGGCAAGGCCTGATCTGCCCGACGCCGCCGACCTTTTGGTTTTTGTAGCGTAGGGGGTGGAAAGAAGAAAAAAAAAAAAAGGGCGACAACGTGGCGTTAGTATCCAGGCTACAGAGAGCAGTGAGCGATAATCCTCGATCTCTCTTGGTTGACAGGTCGGGGGGTTTAACTTTGTGCACTCACCAACGAACAATAAATTGCCAACCCGATGCTTATCCATTTTTATAACTCGCTGTGTAGTGAACAACTACATTTAAAAAGACAAACAAGCGCAGAGTACGTAAGTTTTGGGGCTGTAGGCGGGTGAGCTGACGTGGGAGATGCTTCAGAGACGGTACTCCAATCATATGCATAGACCTAGGTCGAAAAGTACGGTGGAAAGAACCGACAACACCTACATAGTTTCTGACTGTTCTATTCCCGATCACCAAGATGTAGCCGCTCCCTCTCGTGGTCTTAATTACTGCTGTGTACCGTGCATGTATGCACATGCGTGGGGGGGGGGTGGGGAGACCTGTCCCGCTTGCTTGTCAACATCATCACTGCCAAAAAAGCGCTGTACCTCGTACATAGCTGGCCACAAATTATGTACCAGGATACCAGGATGACTATAATAATTGCCTGATCTCCCGGCTGTCGCGGCAATTTTTTCTTTTACGGCGAGATCACTCATTGAATTCTGGGCATGGAGATTGGGTCTACAATGTTTCAGTCGACCACACGTGCATATACACATACACCGAATCTTGATATGCATATGTACATAATGTCGCATGTACGCATGCACTGTGCTGTACCTTGTGTGCATATGTATGCATATATAGGTTCCTCCGTTTTCTCGCTATGCCCGATTTTCCCGTGGTAACAGCGTCGAGACGATGTAAGAGTGTGGTCGTCTCATTTCCACACAAGAGGGTGGAGGGGGTCGTTGCCACACGACTGCTCTGTACGGTATGTACAGTAGATATCAACATGTTTATCAAACACAACGAGTCACGATGCGTATGTGAAACCAACCTGCTGCTCACTTTTCCGACGGCGGCGTATCCTCGAGGGCGGAGAATATACCATACATACATATATACGCCAACACACATGCACGTAGCAAGCACTGCATGTGGCGATGGATGCGAGAGGATGCTCGTGGCACAAACCTACGTACGTACACCCTCAATCATTCCCGAGGCTCGCACGTGTCGTGTTTTCACTTTGTTTAGTCTTTGGAGCAGATTGCGTGGCTGGTCTCTGCGTATGTATGCATGCATATCATGAACAACGTTTGGCGACATGTACGTACGTTGTTGGAAACTAACCAGAATATTTTCTTTCTTGCAAAAACCGCAGCAAACCCTTTGCGTACGCGGTTGCGTGAAAGCAAGCTACCATGTGTACAGACGGCGCTTCTCCCTTCGCGCCTTGGTGGCGGGGGCGGGGGGGCGTGTACGAATCGTGCAGAGGGGTACGAGCGAGTGAAACAGTCTCACATTAGGAGCCAGCCAGCCATCTACCGTAATCTCTCTCAAAACCGACACGCGCAGGCTGTCCTGAACCCCCGGTTCCACACAACATGGATGATCTTGCCGCCCAGCAATCGATCAAGCATAGCTCGACTACACAGAGTCAGGTAGCAGCAGCAGTAGCAGCGGTAGCAGTGCCAACTTCTCCGGGGAGTGTTGCAAAATAGGCCGCAAGGGGACCGACTCCGACGGCGGTGGGGCGCAATTTCAAGGTCTCGCCGCAGCAACAACAGCAGCAGCACGACTCAATGATGTGTATGTCCTCGTGGGCGCCGCGCGCAATTCCCACGCCGTACCCATCGCACTCAACCTACAACCAGCAAAAACACCACGCTGCTGTTGCGCGGCTAGCGAGGTTCAATTCCAGCACGTGGGGCCACCTCTCTCTGCGAGAGGCTCCCAAAAGTCGGCCACATGTTGGAGATTTTTCGCTTGTCTATGGGCACAGCAGCAGGTCTACACTGTCCACTACCGCGAGCGAGAGAGCTTGTTTCAAAGCAGGGAGCAAACCACACGGGCATCCGACGCGGAGATGCGCTCGGTGCAAGAGTGTGAGATGCGAAAACGTGGTTTTGTGTTTGTCCAAGAACCACCATGGCCGGCAGCAATCACACGACTTTTTGTCAACAGCTCGGATACACAGGCTGATTGTTGCTCTTACCCCGAGGATATGCTGCGCAATTCTCCTCGGCGCGCCCGTATACACCGTCGAGCAACTCTTGCACCTCCAGCGAGGATTCGGCCCACTCCTGAGGACGTCCACAGCGCTCCACTCGCCTGACCTGGTCATCATGCAAGAAGCAGAGGTAAGCTGTTGCCAGCATTGGGTGTGAGCTGAACGAGCGGGGGGGGGGGCTGGGGGGCTGACAAAATAC